CACACTGTTGCTGGTATTTTGGCCCATTCCTCCATGCAGATCTCCTCTAGAGTAGTGATTTTCTGTGGCTGTCGCTGGGCAACACGGACTTTCAACTCCCTCCAAAGATTTTCTATGGGGTTGAGATCTGGAGACTGGCTAGGCCACTCCAGGACCTTGAAATGCTTCTTACGAAGCCACTCCTTCGTTACCCGGGCGGTGTGTTTGGGATCATTGTCATGCTGAAAGACCCAGCCACGTTTCATCTTCAATGCCCTTGCTGATGGAAGGAGGTTTTCACTCAAAATTTGACGATACATGGCCCCATTCATTCTTTCCTTCACACGGATCAGTCGTCCTGGTCCCTTAGCAGAAAAACAGCCCCAAAGCATGATGTTTCCACCCCCATGCTTCACTGTAGGTATGGTGTTCTTTGGATGCAACTCAGCATTCTCTCTGTGAGAGGTCTGTGAGAGCCAGGAATCTTGCTTGTTTGTAACTGACCAAATACTTATTTTCCACCATATTTTGCAAATAAATTCTTTAAAAATCAGACAATGTGAATTTCTGGATTTTTTTTTTCTCTTTTTATCTCTCATAGTTGAGGTATATCTATGATGAAAATTACCGGCCTCTCTCATCTTTTAAAGTGGGAGAACTTGCACTATTGGTGGCTGACTAAATACTTTTTTGCCCTACTGTACTTTCCCATTAAAGATGGAAAAAATGTAGCTGCAGGTGAAAAAGTAAAAATTAGATGAAAATGGTGCCATTAATTTTCAATTGTTGATCAATAGAAATATTAATAATAAACAAACAGGTAAACCAGTACGATGGAGCTCCTAAACTAAAATGTTGAGGGAATCACTGCAATCAGGGGTTTTCTTAAATATTCAGTCAGATTTCTGCTCCTGTTGACGGTTTGTTGGTCAAATGTTCATGAGCAAGGTGCTTTAATGTGTCACAATTCAAAATCAATATTTTAATCTATCAAATCATCATTTGTATGTTTCTTATTAGAATTACTGTTTTGAATTTATCCTTTTCTTTATGGTGTGTAGTGTCTAAACTTTCAGGCTGTATATATTCACCTTGTTAAATAGAATCCATTTTAGGATTGCCTTTCCAAAGAAGGAGAGTGGTGGCCTATTGGTTAGAGCATAGAGCTTGGAACCCTGAGGTTCTGAGTTCAAACCGCACTCCCACTGACTGCCACTCTGTGTCTCTGAGCAAGACACTAAAGCTCACACTGCTTCTCAGGTGCCACACAATGGCAGCCCACGGCTCCCCAGGGGGATGGGTTAAAGGAAGAGGGGGAATGGTGTCAGGTCAGGGAAAAGATACGTTTCCGTACAGCTCGTTCCAAAAACACAAAAGTCTCAAACCCCGTTTCCATGAAGATAAAGCGCAGATATTTCCCTGCGGTTTAGCCTCTCGTTTACACAGAAACCCTGTTTTTATCACAGAAAACGATTATTTCTAAAACCTCCGACCAAAGTGGAGATATCTGATAACGCCGGGTACGTGCTGCCGTGTCAACAGGGATAAACAGCATTTTAATTTCTTAAAAGTTACATTATTCACCAGAAACTCCTTAATGTCATGTGATCACCTGATGTTTTCTGGCATATCGAAAGCGTATTTATGCAGGCTGATGTAAAGACGTTTTTTGAAAACAATGTTATGTGCACAATGTTTTTATTGAAAACTGAGAGGGGAAATAGTGTCTCTATATATCAGCTATGTGTAAATGTGGCCACAGATACGATGTGTTGGTGAATGATTGTCAGTTTCAAAAATTCAGAAAACGGTTAAATGTATCTTGCCTCCCTGGGGGCTCAGTGCCCCTAAACTTCTGATCCTAGAATCGCTCCTGCTGGCGGTTTATCCAGGACTATTTCTTTATTTTGAACGTTAAGAATTCCCTTTAAGACTTTTAATCCTACTGAGACTTTTTTTTTTAACAGTGTCCTGTCTGGCAATGTAACTATAAGAATAATTGTCTTGATGCCAAAAAGAGCCCAACAGATTTTACTTTCACAAGTGGAGCAGCACGGCTATCGCCATAGTGTTCCACTTGATTTATGCATATAAATTGCTTTATTATAATTATACAGGGAGATTGACAGATTATATGGACACTGCAATGTAAATAGGACAGGAAAGGAAAAACAGAAAAAAGGAGAAAAGATGAAAGAAAGAGGAGATAACGATAAAACATCTTCAGTCTGCTTCATCACCTGCAAAGAGATGGAAAAAGAACAGCACAACCAATGGATATAGAATAAGAGATACAAGTACCTGGAACCAAGCACCTGTGGTTGTTTGTGAAAGTGCACCTGTGCATGTAGAAGCAAAATGTCTTCATTTGATTGTTTTTTTGATTTTTTTTTTTTTTTTTTGCAAAGAGAGAATCTTCACCTGCAACCAAAAGAAGATAACCGACAAACTGGCAAATAGGAAGGAAGATGAAGCGGGTTTTAAAGTTTTTCAGAGTGCTGTTAGTGACTGTTCAGATCTCCCTGTTATTTATTTATCCTGCAGACAGGATTGAACCCGTTAGAGATCGACTTCCAGCCATGAGGACCTTTGTAGACGAACCACAGGAGAGGGAAGGTGATCACGATTGTAAAAACACGAACGCACCATGTTGGCTCCTCTCAGCAGATAGCAGCAGCAACCTGGCCGCTCTCTGCTTTGTTTGTTCTGGTCAGATAAAACAGACAGCTGATACCTGCACCCCCCCCTTCTGCTGCAGGAGCTCAACAGGAACCAGAAGGCAGAAAAGCATGAAGCTGATGCACTGTTTGTATTTCCCTCTCCTCATACTGAGCCAGATTCAAAACATTCAGAACGTAGAGCTGGTGTTCTGCTCCAGTTTCTCCTTTACAGTTAAATACAACCAGGGGCGGTTCTAGTCAGGGGCCAACGGGGGCCAGTCATCATGTCCTGGCCCCTGTACTGAAGATTTAACGCTCAAAGAAATTCTAATGATGATCTGTGCTGGAACAGACACAATTTCATAGTTTTTTCTGTACAAATTCAGTTTTACTAAATATTTAAAAACAAAAAGGCGATAGCTTCAGTGGTATTGAGGTAGGATCCCAATTTTCATCCGCTAAATGTTTTTTTTCCAAAACAAATAAAAAACAAAATTCTAATTTTTACGGCTGAATTTATCGTTTTTTTCTTGAATTCTGATTTAAATTTTTATAGAAAACGATCATTTTAACTTAATTTAAGTCAAAAATATGTAAAATTCCTAAATTATGAACGTATATATGGACCTAATAAGACAAATAATTTTAATTAAACCTAATTGAGTAGAAATTTCACTTCATACAGCTCTGTTAATATATTTGAATCCTTTGCCCTGTTTTTATTTCATGCTTTTCTGGCCCCCTCGTGGCCCCCTGGTACATTTGGTCTAGAACCGCCACTGGATACAGCAGTTACTGTCGTCTCTGGTAGAGAGGAGTCAAAAAGGCTAGAAATAAAATCTAAAACTGAACACTTAGGAAAATCTGAGCACATTTATTCACATAGAGCAACATTTCACAAACAGACGTTTAGCTGCAATATCTAACCTGACTTTTTAAATAGAATACCAAATATTGTTGTTTTAGCTTTTAAAATAAGGAAAAACATTAAAGATAAAGCATGGATTTTCTTCGATAGGTAATTATATGATGTAAAAAATATATAATTTCCAAGCTAATTAAAATAAGCTCTAAAACATGTGTTTTGTTCTTTTAATGTCATTCTGTCTTATAAATCCAAATATTCTCTATAATCACCACTAACCTAATAATGGTATTTGTTATTATATTTCATTAGATCATTTTATTTTTCACCATTAGTAAGATCCATCACTACTCCTTGAACCCCAGTGGGCCTCAGCAGATGGCCGCTCACACTGAGCCTGGTTCTGCTGGAGGTTTCTTCCTGTTCAAAGGGAGTTTTTCCTCTCCACTGTCGCTACAAGCATGCTTAGTGTGAGGGATTGCTGAAGAGTCAATGAGTCGATGCAATCAGCTGGTTTTCCTTAGATAGAAAACTTTGAATCAATCTGACTGGATGATCTGGTTGAACTGGAAAGTGACCTGATGTGAATTGGAGCTATAGAAATAAACTGAATTGGTTAATAAGGCATATATTCTTTTTCACTCCTCTAAATAAAATGTACTCTATCAAACTGCCTTCATCAGCTCAGGTAATTAGTCAACTGAGGCCCCTGGGTAACTTTTGGAGTTCGTCTTCCAGCTTTACACATTTAGCAAATAAAATTTCTGCCCTTTCCTTTTTAAAATTTTTATTTTTTTACCTCAGCCAGATGAGTGTGATATTGTGTCTGTAAGCATTTGTTTTCAGATCTGGAGTTCTACTGGGCCATTCTAACACAGGATAAGCTTTTATCTAAAGTTTTTCATTGTCTCTCAGACAAATATTGCAAATAAAACGACAAAAGTTTTTGCAGAAATGTCTCACTTAAGTTTTTATTTTTTCCTGTTACACAAATAAAGAGTTGGTCTTCTGTCAGTTTTCCTCTTAACAGACATTTTCAGAAACGTTATATATATATATATATATATATAATTTATTTTGAGGATAGAAGTGCTCTCTATGGTAAAGTTGTAAAGTAGTGCTCTGTAGTGTAAACCTAAAGGTTAATAAGTTGTGTCCAGCAGGCATGGAGTCTAAAATAGCTCAACGCTACTTCTAAGAAAAAAGTCTTTTTCATTTCAGATTTTTATGAAAAAAATAAATTAGCTAAGGTTTTTTTTTTAACCTTGACTCATCAGATGCGTTCATATTTTCTGTTAATCTGCTTTTCAAATTCTTCAGATTTTCAGAAAAATCTTTTAATATCACTTGATCTTTTTGCTTAACTGAACCTTTGCACTAAATCAGCTTAAGATAAATAACTCAGCTGCCGACTGAGGAGGTTCTCACACTTTGACCAACTTAGAGGAGGAAAATCTGGCCTATGTATTAAATAAACCGCATTAACAACATCAGAATGTATTAAATATAGTTTATTTACATATATCAAACAAATATTTTCCAGTAGGGTTATTGGCAGATCGTATAAACAGACACATTTTCATGCAGCGATAAGCTTTCATTGCTCTTGGTGCGAATCTCTGCTGCAGAAGAACCGCCTCCTGAAGCAGCAGAGAACCAGAATCCGACGCTTCAGAACCAACCAGGAATCGTTAGGCTCTGCAGGATCTTTCCTTACCTGCATCATCTTCTCATGCGTTATAAATATTCCCTTTAAACAGCGGATGTAAACGTGTCTGTTTAGCGTGATGGGAGGCAGAAACCGTCCAGCTTCCTTCAGGTTTGGTTTGAGGTCCGTCTTCAGAAGGAGGACCAGAGAAATCAGCTTCAGTCCCAAACGTCTCACAGGAGAGACTTCACCAGCGCCACCATGTGGTCCACACCGCACGCTACATCCACCACCTGACCTGGAACGGTCACCTTATGGGGAGAGGAGGAGAAAAATCAGCACAATCTGTTTGTTTTCTCTCAGCTTCACGGCACATCAGTGATGGAGGGACTCTGAACCTCGCAGAGTTTCCATAGAGAGCTTAACACCCTCAAATCTTGTTTAAATGCTAATGTATATCTGTGCAGGTAAATTGAAAATCTCTCCGGGGGGGAACACGCAGGCGACGGTACTGATTCATCCAGACAATCTTTTAAGCGGTGAAACATAAAGTGGGCCGGCAGCTGCTTGGCTTTTTAGAAAAACAGTGAAAATATAATCAACCTGTATAAGACTCTCTACCTTCACCTGCTGGAGATGCTTTTTATTCTTTGATCCTCCTGTTTCTCTCTCCACCGGATCACTTTCATCATTCAAGCTGCTCAATATTCCGTCACAGTGAGGAACCAGAACTGCACTTCGTTCTAACAAAGCAAAACCAACCCTCTTCCGTCGGGTCAGACATCAGTAAATCAGAAAAACTGGAGTTTTTAAACATCCAAACATTTGATCTCTACGACTCCTTAATCAACAAAGAGCAGGTCCTCACAAAGACGGTAAAACACTTGAATGAAATCCATTCAACTGTGGCTTTATCAGACTCTAAGGTTTATCTTTTAAACATGTCTTTGACCCAAAGCGTCTTTGCAAACTGTAATCTATTTTTTTTTTATGTTTATCTAGATCAAGGGTAACCAATTAAAAATCAGCGGGTCCAAATAAAGAAAATCATCAAACAGTAAAGGCCCGGAAACATTTTAAATTATACTTTAAACAGAATTTAACAATGAAATACGAGGTGTTTATGCATCCACATATGTTGAAATTTTACATACAAAAATATAAAAAAAGAATAGAACATTTTTCTATTTTAAAATCTAAATTTTTTTTTTAAGTAGAGAACAACAATCGTTGAATTTGGTTTATAGACGATTTCCTGATTCCCATATTTTCTAAAACACCTGAACTGATCGTTTGTTATTTTTCTTTCTTTTTATTGTCTTAATGTTCGCAGTGGGCTTTAGGCTATGGAGGATAAAAAGTTCCAAAAATAAAATAAATAAAGCATTAAATAAATAATTAAATGTGTCAATAATTAATTAAATGTGAAATTAAATAAATAAATGTGTCATTCATTAATTAAAACCACGTCACTAATATAAAGTGCCACAATTAAATAAATACAGCAGTTAGGGGGCGGGGTTAACGCGAATCGAGCCTCTGTAATCGACTTGCTTCGCCTTAATGTGCAGGGTGACCAATCAGGTGTTAGATAACCGCCCCCTAACTTTGATGGGTGAGTTTGACAGATTCTTTTAATGGTTTCACTGCACTGCGACACAGGACCATGAAATATTTAAATGCACACTGAAATAATTATATATATATTTTTAATAAAATGAAGACGTATTTTATTAAATTAATGACACATTTATATATTTAATTCCTAATTTATTTAATGAATTACACATTTAATTAATTTTTTATCGCTGTATTTATTTATTTAATTGTGGAACTTTATATTAGTGACGTGGTTTTAATTATTGAATGACACATTTATTTATTTAATTTCACATTTAATTCATTATTGACACATTTAATTATTTATTTAATGCTGTATTTGTTTATTTAATTTTGGCACTTTTTATCCTCCATATTAGGCTGCCCTGCAAGGCTTTAAACCTGGGTTTAACCGGAGACTAAGCCATTCTCAAGCACATATCAAGGTGCTCATTCTAAGCCTGGATCCAGATTTATTGTTGATTCTGTTCATGGTGGAGAATCCTGCTTCACAGCAGCAGGTTGAGCCAAACATCCTCTAAATGTGCAGGGTCATCTTTGAGCACGCCATTTCACTTTTCCTTCACCAGTTCACCACAGTTCTTCCAGCAGTCCACACTTTCTCTGCTCTCTTTTTCTCATGGTCTTCTCCTTCTTTCCCATCGCCCGGCTTGCCACAGGTTTGCCTGCAGTGTCTAAAAGTAGCAGCAGCAGCAACCCAGACTGACAGCTCATTGGCTCATTTGGATCACGTGCAGCCTGGAGCCGGACGCTCCCCAGGGCTTTACCGTATTAACAGGAGAAGAGGCGCAAGTGAAATTAGACAATGCCGTCAGAAAACATGCAGAAATTTATAAATGTTTTCAATTAGCCAGCAGGTGGGTCTAGATCCGGACCGATTCAAACAGATGATCGAGGCAACTTTAGGAAGCTGGAAGGCTTTATTTTTCTTTTTTCTTTTCTTCGATATCTTGTCTCGTTTCTTAATGATGTCACATTAAGAAGCAGAGTGTTTGATCCTAAGGTGATCCTCCATTAAACACAAAGCTGTGATGTTGTTAAACCCAGGCTCTGCCATCTTTTGCTACTACTACATAAACCCAATGTGACAACAGTAACCAGTGGTTTACTCAGATTTTGATCATTGTATTGTTTAATCTAACCAAACTATATTTAAACAACTAGTTTCCTTTTTTTCCCCAACCAATCTATTCTCAGAATCTACCCAAACTTTATCCAACTGACCGGAACTGTCCTAAAAATCCCCACATCTTGACTGAATACTGAGGCTCTTTAAATGGAGTTCGGGGCGAGCTGACCCACTTCCCTAAGAGGTCACATGGTATGGCGGGGTAGTGAGGATTCAGATGTCATCTATTTTGGCTCCTCCCCCAAATGAAGCAAGCCTCGCGGAAACACCCCCTCCATTACTCCACACATGCCTCAAAGCCTCGGCTCATCCCATTACATCACTGCTGTTCAGGACCTAAATCTACAGCGTCGAGCTTCTTTTTTTGTTTTAAATTTTCGGCACTAGTGGCCCGTTTTATTTATTTATTTATTTTTTTACGGCCTCCTCTTCTTCAAACACTTCGTCTAATGAAGATGAAGATTTGAAAAGACGTTCAGTTCCAACAAAGATCAAGTCAAAATGGAGAATGTTGTAAAGAAAGCAAACCCCATCAGAAGAAAATATATAGTTCGTTGTTCTTACTCTCCAGGGGAAGAATTGGTCGTCTCTCTTTCCGATGCCCAGGCAGCCTCTGACGTTCTTCCCCCAGACGAACAGCTCCCCTCCATCTGAAAACCAAGCAGCAACATCAGGGAGGATGAACGGCTGAAGCTAAACGCTGGGATGCATCACCGCTAAGCCTGCTCTTTAGTCTGCTACTCATCCTCGCTCCACCGCACTGAAGCTGGAACTGTTCTGGAAAATAATCCATATCAAGAAATTTAACTTATGAATTAAAACTTAAATTAGCTCACATAAAACATTGATACTTAATTGCATTGATCAGAGATCAGGAAAGGGAAAACTACATTTTTGTTTGTATGTTTTACAAGTACAACAATATAGAGACCATTTTTCTTAACCACTCTTCAAACATGAGAACTTGCTGGTCTTTAATAGGTTTATACAGGAATGAGAAACTCTAATTTATTGATTTTTAATGCTCTTAGAAATAATTTTAATGCAATCAACAAGAACCCATGAATCGATGACGGAGTATGTGTATGTATGTACATACGTACATTAGAGACTGACATTTTCTTGGGATGGGAGTCAGTATTAGTAACGATCACGTGATTGGGACGGTACAGAATTAAACATTAACGGGAGCACACCAATAGTAACTAAAAAAAACTAGGATTGATGCCAACAAATAAAATAAAATAGAAAGAAAAAAAATCCAATACTGGCGCCGCCATTTTGTAGTTTTTTTCCTTGAAGCCTACACTATAATGCGAGTCAAAAAAAAACTACACGACCCAAAAACCAACAGTGCTTCCGCTCTGAGTTTTTCTGCTTTGTGTGTGTGTATATATATATATATATATATATATATATATATATATATATATATATATATATATATATATATATTAGGGCTGCAACTAACGATTATTTAAAAAATCGATGAATCGGACAAAAAATATTTTTTATATTAACCTCTTTATTCCAAAATAAACATTTTAGACAGAACAAACAAGCACACAAGTACAGGTTGCTCATTAACTGTACTGGTGCAATATGAAAAATAAATGTTTGTGTTAAAACTACACAAACTTACATGAGAAATGTAGCTGTACATCCACAAAATATAGGCTACTTTGTTTCATAAAGCGCAATAAGAGACAGGCATTTCTGTTTTTAAAGCCCCTAAGGGGTTCAAACAATAGGCCCCCCCATTTCAACAAATTAGTTTTTTTAGACTAGAAGAGTTCTGCCTTTTAAGACAGGAAAGTACAGCAGTTAAAGTTGCTGCTTGAGAAAATACTGAACCATAGAGATAAAAATAGCCCTGTGATTCAAATTATAAATTGTATTTGGAATAAAAATGAGAGAACTAGGGGTGCTAAAAAACACATCCTCCAAAGACAGATATTTACATGGGAATGTGGCATATAATTAATTGACATATTACTGATCTTGCTGGATTTTATTCTGCTTTACTTCCATAAATTGCAGGATCTTCTTTACTTTATCTTTGCCAGAAGATTTAAACGCCTTGCCCTCATAATTTGCAAGTTAATTTATTTATAAAGAAAATATAAACGCTGCTTAAGCTAATTCAAATGAAATTAAAAGTAAAATAAGTAGCCAACCTTATCACTGTCTGTAACCTACTAACACGGTAAGGAACGCATCAGATGAGCTACCTGAGAAACTAACGTTACGTTTCCCCACTTTGAAACCAAACAAACATGGCCGCTCACCCTGCTGATGAGCTCTCTTCACTGCCATCGAAGGTTCCAGCGTGTTTCCTTTTCAGGTGCTGCATCATAACAGTGGTGCTTCCGTGCCATGTTCATTTGTTTTTACAAAAGTTGCATGTTACGACTTTTTTCACTTTACAAAGCGCAGGCTATTTTTATTATTGTGATCAATTTGCGCCGTCAATCCCGGCGCATGCGCGCCTCATTTGCAGTCTGGACGCTGAGGGTAAACATCCTGCGGCTCTGACTGCAGCGATATATATATATAATATATATATATATTCCTGAGGATGATGGGAGCTGAGTCTCACCTGTCACTGCTGCAAAATGGCTGAGGCCGCACCGGATCTGGACCACCGCTACAGACGGGCTGAACTCGGAGCGTCCAAACAGACTGGAGGGAATCATCTCTGGGGAAGAAGACTCTGATAGCTTCGGACCTTTTCCCAGAATGCCGTAGCCCCAAACAAACACCTGTCCCTTCTCTGAAAGAGTTCAAAGGTTTCAGAAACGTTGAAGCAGAATATTTCCATCATAGGAAACAGAAAGGATCGATTAGTGGACTGACCGTTGAGAACAGCCACCTGGGTCCCTCCACACGCTGCCTGAACCACCTTTCCACAGCCTTTCAGAGGGAGACGACGCGGAGAATTTATCTGAACAGAGACACGGAGAAAGGAAACAGCTTTACTTCCCTCTCCATAAGTTTCCACATGTCTGCATTTATTACTTTACTTTATAAACAAAATATGGACCAGGTTTAACACAGCCTAGATTCTAAAGCCTGTCACACCTTGACGATTTAGCCATCAAATGATGTTTATGCATCATACTCTGGTTGTTTTAAATATCATCACTACTATCATAAATACTATCACTGCCGTTATAGGCGTACATGCAAAAATTAATTACTTTCAGCTTGAATTCAGCAGTGTATGAATTTCTTTTGGGTGGCGTATTTCTATTCAGTCGTCGCTGCTGTAACGCTTATTTGTTTTGTTGTGTCAAGTTGTGACGTTTTTTCTTTCAGTGGTATTAATAGAATACAGGTTGTTTCGTGCAAAGCTAAATATTTTAGATTAGATTAGATTCAACTTTATTGTCATTACACAGGTTCAGGTACAAGGCAACGAAATGCAGTTTAGGTCTAACCAGAAGTGCAATAGTAGCAAGTGCAGGATAAATAATGGTTCCATAAATACAGAACATGGTTTCTACTGAATGAGTATAGAGATGAATACTATTATAAATAATGAATATAATATATAGATCACTAGCGTTATGAACTAAATTTACAGCTGGATATGTACCGAATATAATATACAGATAATATATATATATATAAAAAAAAAAAAGGTTTATACAGTTATATATAGCGTTTTATTGTTATATATAGCTCCCTCTCTTGGTGATGTGGCACCAGAGTCCATAAGTCGCATGGCCAGCCAAACCATGAAAAAAAGTGTGACTTATAGTCAGAAAAATACGGTACACGGCCAAAATTTAAAAAATACATAGAAAGTTGAGCGTATGGCAGCGTTTTAGGAGATTCTGGGAAGTCGGGCAGACGCTGGATAAATCGGCAAGGTGCAACAGGGGCCTGAGACTGCAAGCTGGTTTATTCCCGTTCTTCCTGTTTTATTGCAACTCTACCTGAAGTCCATGTGATTCTTTTGAATTTCCCTATAGTTATGAATAAAGTGTTGCTGCAGTTAATCTAGGAAGGGTTTAAAGGTCATTAGAAGCCCATCACTCTACAGAGAGAAAATAAAAATTGTCCACAAGTGGAAAATGTTTAACACAGCTGTCAACCTCCCCCAAAATCACCTTAAGCTTCATGCATTCATCCATTCTCTGCAGGCCTTAGAGCAGGAATGCATGCATGGATGCATGTTTGCTTGTAATGCACACAAGCAGCTTTGAAGAAAACCGAACAACAAAACTTTGGCTGATTTCTCACCTGTAGCCTCAAACAGCTGAAGTTGGTAGTAATACTGATATAATGAGGGAATTATAGAATTAAAAAGTTGGTAAATAAATACTGACAATCATTACAACATATTCAAATACAGATATATTACTAATCTGTTGCCGGCTAACGTTACATTAAATGGAGGCATTAAAATGCAAATTTGTAAATAAAGTAAAAAGTAAATATAAACATATTTATTTTTCATTGAAATATGTCTGAAAAAACCTGCAAAAACCTCCAAAGTGCACGGAAATAAATATTAATCAATGTTGAGTTGAATTTTTTTCTTCAAATATTCTTCATGGTCGAACTTCTGAAGAACTTTGTTTTTTTAATGCAAAATGTCGAACATTTATTTCTCTATAAACCAACTTTTAATAAGCGTTTTTTTTATTTGTGAAATAAAATTTTAAAGCTTTTAAACCTTATCTACGTTCCCACATAGAAACAACACAACACAAATGTTGGGAAATTGAATCCATGATCAAACCTCATTTATTTAAAGAAGGTACGAAAAACAACGAAAAATGTCAGACATTGAGGTTTAAAACATCAAACCAGGATCAGCGTCTTCCTCACCTGCGTGGACTCGCTGACCGAGGCCAGCTGTCGGTACTCTGAGTTCCCCCAGCCAAACAGTTGGCCGTCTCTAGACACCGCCAGGCTGCAGTCCCCGTATGAGCTAATCTGCTGCACCTCCACGCCGGCGAGATCGCCGCCCACTTCCACCGGACAGGAGCTGATGTTGTGATGACCCAAACCTGGAAAGAAAAGACATGATAAAACAGACTGTACGGATATTTAAAACCCAAACTCTTGCAGAAATGTTCCTATCCTGGATCATACAGTCACATTAACCATGAAGAGGAACTTTTTAAAGTTAAAATTCTGATAAATAAGGCATTTATTCTTATTCACTCCTCATTCATGCCTTTATCTCCTCACAGTTAGACTTTTGAAACTGTCTTTTTACTTGTTTAAACAATAAGGAGCTTCACCGTCTCCAACTTTGCTGCAAGGCTTTTAACTCATATAACAAAGGAGAACATTTTACACCAGTATTAGCAGCTCTGCACTGGTTACCAATCCAGAATAGAATCCAATTTAAAATCCTTTAATTATTGTTAGAGCCCTGCATGGTCAAGTTTCTCCCTACATCTCTGGGCTGATAGAGCTCCATGTTCCGTCCCACTGTCTGAAGTCAAAGGGCCAATCATTGTTAGTGGTTCCACCCTCGTTTAAAACCAGAGGGGATCGTCAGAAGCTCAGAGGCTGTGCAATGCTTTGCCTCCTTCTTTACGCTGAATGATTGCTGTTGATTCTTTTAAAAATGCTGGTGAAGATTCTCCATCATCAAGGTCATAGCCATTCCAAAAAAAGAAAATTAAAAACAATCCTCTGGACTTTGTTTCCAAGTTTGAAGACGTTTCTCTTCCCTTCTCTTCCCATCAAAGAAGCTTTTTCAACCCACCTGCTGGCTAATCCGGACCCAACCAGGTTTAAAACATTTATAAATTACTGCATGTTTTCTGACGGCACTGTCTAATTTTACTTGCGCCTCTTCTCCTGTTAATACGGTAAAGCCCTGGGGAGCGTCCGGCTCCAGGCTGCACGTGATCCAAATGAGCCAATGAGCTGTCAGTCTGGGTTGCTGCTGCTGCTACTTTTAGACCCAGCAGGCAAACCTGTGGCAAGCAGGGCGATGGGAAAGAAGGAGAAGACCATGAGAAAAAGAGAGCAGAGAAAGTGTGGACTGCTGGAAGAACTGCGGTGAACTGGTGAAAGAAAAGTGAAATGGTGCTCAAAGATGACCCTGCACATTTAGAGGATGTTTGGCTCAACCTGCTGCTGTGAAGCAGGATTCTCCACCATGAACAGAATCAACAATAAATCTGGATCCAGGCTCAAAATGAGCTCCTTGATATGTGCTTGAGAATGGCTTAGTCTCCGGTTAAACCCAGGTTTAAAGCCTTGCAGGGCAGCCTAAAGCCCACTGCCATCATTAAGACAGAAAAAAGACAGAAAATAACGGTCAGTTTAGGCGTTTTATAAGGAAATTGTCTATAAACCAAACTGAACGATTGTTGTTCTCTACTTCAAAAAACACTTTAAATTTTAAAATGGATTTTTGTTTTTATTTATAAATATAATTTTTTTATTTAAAGTTAATGTATAACATGGATGCATTAAAACCTGCATTTTATTTCAGCGTTAAATTCTGTTTAAAGTAACAGATGACTGGTTGTTTATTTTCTTTATTCGGACCCCGCTTATTTTTACTTGGTTACCTCTGGTTTAGAGGACACTGACCTGTCTGACCGTCGGCTCCCCATCCACAGGAAAACACTTTCCCCGTGTCTGTAAGGAACAAGCTGTGGTCCTGCCCACACGCCACCTGGACAGTAAAACCAAAAATAAGGAGCAGTTTCTGCTTCACAAAGGCGGAAATAAAAAATCTATCCCGGAATATGACTCAACTAAATGAAAAACATCAACTGATGCGATATTTTAAGCCCCAAACCAACATTTCCTTAAGAAGCATCAGCATCACTGCTCACCTGGACCATCCTGCTGCTGAAGCCTTCAATCTTATGAATGATGTGGCTGCCACTGAGGAGACAGGAGAAACATACAGGTGCTGGTCATAAAATTAGAATATCATGAAAAAATAGATTGATTTCAGTAATTCCATTTAAAAAGTGAAACTTGTATATTATATTCATACATTACATACAAACTCATATATTTCAGATGTTTATTTTGTTTAATTTTGATGATTACAAATGACAACAAATGAAAATCTCAAATTCATCATATCAGAAAATTAGAATATTACTGAAGACCAATAAAAACAAAGGATTTATAGAAATGTTGGCCAACTGAAAAGTATGAACATGAAAAGTATGAGCATGTACAGCACTCAGTATTTAGTTAGGCCTCCTTTGGCCTGTATTACTGCAGCAATGCGGCGTGGCATGGAGTCGATCAGTCTGTGGCACTGCTCAGGTGTTATGATAGCCCAGGTTGCTCTAATAGTGGCTTTTAGCTCTTCTGAATTGTTGGGTCTGGTGTATTGCATCTTCTTCTTCACAATACCCCATAGATTTTCTATGGGGTTAAGGTCAGGAGAGTTTGCTGGCCAATTAAGAACAGGGATACCATGGTCCTTCAACCAGGTACTGGTAGCTTTGGCACTGTGTGCAGGTGCCAAGTCCTGTTGGAAAATGAAATCTGCATCTCCAAAAAGTTGGTCAGCTGCAGGAAGCATGAAGTGCTCTAAAACTTCCTGGTATGTGGCTGCGTTGACCCTGGACCTCAGAAAACACAATGGACCAACACCAGCAGATGACATGGCACCCCAAACCATCACTGACTGTGGAAACTTTACACTGGACTTCAAGCAACATGGATGAAGTGCCTCTCTTCTTTTCCTCCAGACTCTGGGACCTTGATTTCCAAAGGAAATGCAAAATTTACTTTCATCAGAGAACATGACTTTGGACCACTCACCAGCAGTCCAGTCCTGTTTCTCTTTAGCCCAGGCAAGACGCTTCTGACGCTGTCTGTGGTTCAAGAGTGGCTTGACACAAGGAATGCGACAGCAGAAACCCATGTCTTTCATACGTCTGTGTGTGGTGGTTCTTGAAGCACTCACTCCAGCTGCAGTCCACTCTTTGTGAATCTCCCCCACATTTTTGAATGGGTTTTGTTTCACAATCCTCTCCAGGGTGCGGTTATCTCTCTTGCTTGTACACTTTTTTCGACCACATCTTTTCCTTCCCTTCGCCTCTCTATTAATGTGCTTGGACACTGAGCTCTGTGAACAGCCAGCCTCTTTAGCGATGACCTTTTGTGTCTTGCCCTCCTTGTGCAAGGTGTCGATGGTCGTCTTTTGGACAACTGTCAAGTCAGCAGTCTTCCCCATGATTGTGTAGCCTATAGAACTAGACTGAAAGACCATTTAAAGGCTTTTGCAGGTGGTTTGAGTTAATTAGCTGATTAGAGTGTGGCACCAGGGGCCATCAATTTTGAACCTTTTCACAATATTCTAATTTTCTGATATGATGAATTTGAGATTTTCATTTGTTGTCATTTGTAATCATCAAAATTAAACAAAATAAACATCTGAAATATATGAGTTTGTATGTAATCTATGAATATAATATACAAGTTTCACTTTTTAAATGGAATTACTGAAATCAATCTACTTTTTCATGATATTCTAATTATATGACCAGCACCTGTAGATTGAGGGAAAACAGCGCCATCAGGAGGTCACCACAATTATTACAGGGCTTCTCTCCACATCAGATTCATCTGAAGACAGATGGATTACAAAAAGCCTCTGAGGCCATGGAGATTTTATAGAGTTGCCTCTTCTTTTTATGTTTATCTAAATATCTTTAAAGAAAACAGTGTAGATAACAAATGGTAACAAAAAAAAAAACAGATACAAAGAAACAAGGGTTGGTTTAAAGGAAAAAATCGGTCACATTCAGAATACAAATAAATAATAAGTGTTTTTAATGGAGAGTAATTTTCATGTGAATGTGCTTTACTGGAGGCATCCATGTTTGTCAAAGAACACTACTGCCACCAGTGCCGCAAAAACTGGGTATGCAGCGCATGCAACGCATAGGGGCGCTGCACTCGAGGGGGCGTCAAAAAACCCCTCTAATAAATACATTTTTCTAGTTGTCATTTTCTATATTTAACAGCATAAAACGATCAATAACAGAAAGACAGCACTGATTATGCGCCCCCTTCACCTCCCCTCCTGTCGCTCTCCCTTCCCACACAGGTGGCTTGCGCACGCGCCCCAAAGAGGCGCACTCAGGCGTGTTTTTTTTTTGTTTTTTTATCTTCGACAACCAGTCGTAGTGCACACTTAACAGCAAGATGGTGCGCCAGAAAAAAAAAAAAATTATCCGGGGCGCAAAACAGAAAAAGAAAAAGGGAGAAGGATAAAGTTGTTGGCGGGATGAAAAAAAGCCTTTCAATGTGGTTGAAAGACAGCAGGTAAGTTCTGTCAGTGAATCGACAGCAGGACAGGAAGGTTGTAAATATTCAGGTTAGATAAAGCTAGCCTGATACGGAGTCGCCCCATATTTGGCTGTTAAATGTTGCGTCCCCTATTGAAGCAATAAGGAACGCGACTTGTTCTGTATTTCTAGGAATATCTGATACATACGCCTGTAACACACACATATCCACACACTAAGTGTGAGAATGACCGAAATAAAACTTGTGAAATATTAACACAGGAAAGCTAAAATGTCTTGGCCAGTTCCCAGCTATGGGAACTGGCCAAGACTGGGAACTATGGCTGCAGAGTAGAGTGCTGAGGCAAGGCTTTATTCAGAAGATCCACCTCTGGAAATCTTCAATAATTGTTGTTGATTGCAGATGTGTCTAGTAGTTCCCATTGATTTAGCTTGTAAAGCGGGGAGAATGGCGCTAGGCTTACCGCACCGTGACGTCACTGCTGGAAGATGGCAGGAGGGAAGGTTTCTATATTTGGGCAAAAATGGCCGCTCCCAGACTCAGTGATCGCGATGAAAATTACTTTTAATTTTTTACTCATTATCACTAAATTCGGATTAGTTTTAGGTATAAATAATTATCGATTGTTAATTTCCTACTGACCGGACTTTTCCTTTAAGACATCTTAAAGTATTGAAGATTACAAATATTAATGACTAAGAAACCATTAACATTTTGAATTTTTTTAAAGGAATCCCTCAGACGGCAACCAAAAAAGGAATAGGCTGAAGCCCCAAGGCTTATTCTTGCCTATCCTCTGCCATCATTAGAATAATTCACAATAAAACATAAAATGCATAATTACAAAACCCATAATAACTTACCGGTAAACTGAAAAATCAAACTTTTAGATTTTAAAGTCTTCTTGAAAACTAATATAAAGTTAGACTTTATTTCATGGTTTAGTCATTTCCATAATTGACACACATCTGAACTTGAGATCAGCTCTGGCTTTGTAAGTTTCAAACATCAGTTAAGTTATAAATCCCCTGCCTTAGCTTAAACATTTTTGAAATGCAAACAGGGATTGACTTATTTACCACTCGTAACATAGTTTCTAATGTTTTTAAATATAGAATTTCTAGAAATGTTCTTGTAGAATCACGGTGGCCACCTCCATTTATTATTCTAAGTCTTTTCTGCTGTTTAATTATCGGATCTAAATTAGTTTTATATACATTTCCCCAAATCTTATCATAAACCACCCCTTGCATTCCTCACAACAAAGTATACGATCTCCAAGTGTACTTCTAGCAGCATCATCAGACAGGCTAAATAAATAAAAATATTATTAGAAAACTGCATCTACGCAGATTATTTATCTCTGGCAATAATATTAATTTAAAGATCCTTCTCATTAGCACTGCTGCCATGCAGCAAGTTTAGGAAGCAAGGAAATAAAATCCTTTAAATTACATCAAAATGGACAGTTCTTTCTGAGATTCTTTAGAAATAATCCAGTCGTCTGCATGGTAAAGGTGCTTTCTCTGTCGAAAACATATTTTTAGGAGCAACCACCAACCTGTAGACCTCCTCATCAATGATGCTCCTCCCACACTGGCCGTACGCGTTGTTCCCCATGCTGAACACTGGAGACAGACAGCAGAAAACAGAAAGGAGTCAGAAAGCAACAGGATCATTTAGAAAAACGGCCAAATGTATGGTTTATTTGCTTCTGCAGCAGCTTCGGCTTTGGTTACTAGTTTTTGTAGGAGGAAACTGGGAGATTAGATAGAGGAAAATTGATGGATTATTGGTTTGAATCTACATGAAAGTGGAGTTAGCTACAGAGGTGAAAAGAATAAGTTTAGTCTGTTTTGAGTGTAGGATTTCCTTTCCAATTTAAAAAATGCAATTAACCAATTAACCATCTGGTTGACCAGGCAGTTAAAGATTTAAAGTAGTAGGGAAGCAGCTGTTCTGACCGTTTATGAGTGAATAAAGTGAATGTGATTGGTCAATTATCAAGGGGGCGGGACTGTTGTGGTGGAAGGTTTGTAAGCAAGTTTTTGAGACAGACGGTAATATGAAAGGAAAGCACGACCAGAGGGCTTTCTCCTCTATTGTTCCTCTTACCTCCTTCCTGGTCGGTGAGGACCAGGGAATGGGCCCGACCACAGGACACCTGGACCACCCTGGTCTGCTGAGGCTGGATTAGAGGCAGGGCAACCGGGGATGGCTCCAAAACATAGTCATAGCTTTTATCTGGAAGGAGGGAACAGTAGAGAATGCATCCCTTCAGAAATTCAATATCCTGAACGTAGCTTAAATGTAGTGCAAAAGCTTTAAACCAACTTATTTTTTTGGTAAAACCAGAATAAGCCATTATCTATAAATAAACCTGGTATATATTTATATATTTAGGTACTGCTGGAGTTATTTTATTTTATCTTATCCTGTATTAACCTTGTTTACTCTTTATGTTATCTTTAGTCTCTTGTGAAAGTATTCCACTGCAGGTGCCAGGAACTGAATGTTTTTCACGTAGAAAAAAACGGGATGCACGATATTGGGATTTTGGCCGATATTTTAAAACTCATGTAGCCGATACCGATGTTAAAGCTGGACAAAAATAAGTAGTCATTGAAAATAGCAGTTTTGTTATCCATTTCTGACACTTTGAAAAATAATATACTCAAATATATTTTCATATGCTGATATCAAATTGATTTTTAAAAACGCGGTATCGATCTATTTTACTTTCAAAATCTCGTGAAATTTCATCGTTCTGTTACAAACTCTCGTGATATTTTGCAAATTCTTGTGAGATTTTGTTAGTAAAATAGATCGATACCGCGTCAATATATCAACATATAAAAATATGGCAACATTTTGTGAATTTTCGGGGGATTTCGTAGCATAACGATGACATATAGCAATATTTCATTAGTAACAGAGATTGATATGGTGTTTTTAAATGGCATATAAAGATATTGGGATATTTCAATGTATCAATATTTTTTCCCTCGTCTTTAGAAGTTTTTAAGTCTGTAAAAAAGAAGTTTTTGAGGAAGAAGAAGAAGTAGTATTTTTTTTTTTTTTTTTTAGACTTTAGAAACTCAGAAGCTGATCAAATATCGGGTTAAATATCGGTGGGGTGGCCGATGTCCGATATTCAGTTTTAAGGCCGATACCGATACGGAGCCGATTATATTGTGCATCCCTGATGCATTTCCTTTAAGAGTTCCAGCGTGATCTATTGTAACCAGGGACTCCCTTTTTCCAATAAAGAGCAAATAAGACAGCAGAGGTGCTTCAGAGCGGTGGGAGACTGGAACTGATGCCATGTCTGCTGCTCTCCCCGCGGGTAAAAAGAATCTATTGTCTCTTGTCCTTCTTCCCAGGTTATTTGAGAAGTATTTGGGTGTTTAAACCTAAAGAGCTGGTCATCCTCCCTCAGCAGCTTGTTGGAGATATTTTTGATTTATGCCCAATATTGAAGCGTGGTCTGAGCTATGTTATTCCACGCCACAACACAAGAGGGACAATCAGGAACTAGCTGTGGGTCTAGATACGGCCGAGGCGGTGAGGAAGTGGGGGCGAGTTTGTGCGACAATGGAGGGACATGAGGGCCAAAAAGAGCGGAGATCCAGAAGGAAAAAGGGTCCCAGTGTTTTCGCGCTCCTCGCTCTTCTAGCTGCTCCATCTTCACCAGTCGTTTTCCACAATGGCAGTCACACAAACAAAACAAGCCGGTAAGGAACCAAACAGGAAATACGCATAATGTAGAGCGGATGTAGATCTGACCAATCAGAGGCCTCCTGTCTGGGATCACCTACAATTTTGGAGAGGTGCAGCAGAGTGTCTGTGGAAGACGGAGGCATATTTGCATTCACTGTGACAGAAACGCAGACGACCTGGTTTCTGATCATAAATCAACCTTACCAGTACTCTGAGTGTTAGGTAACCGGAGACGCAGCCTGAAGGTAAAGGTCTGAATGCTTTGAGTCCATGATGTGGAGCAGGCATCCCCAAAGTCGATCCTCGAGGGCCGCTGTCCTGCAGGTTTTAGAGGTTTCTCTGCTTTAGCAGAGCTGATTCTTATGATTGCAGTTCAACAATAGCCTGTTACTCAACTATCGATGTGAATCAGCTGTGCTGGAGCAGAGAAACCTCTAAAACCTGAAGAACAGCAGCTCTCCAGGAATATGCCAGATGTGGGGGGTTGGCAGAGATGCTAGCTGACATTTTCCTGACCCTAGACCTGTACAGGTCCTGGAGGCTGGTAGGTCAGCCCTATTGGTTCTCTCTGTAAACATGATTGTTTGCTGCAGTTTAGATCCGTCCTTCTTTGCCTGTTGTAGGAAAACTAATGAAAATACATTGGAAATCAGCTGATTCTGCTGCTTTAAGGAACAGACAGAGCTGATGACTAACATGGCCTGATATGAGAGGGTAACCTTCAGTAGTAGAAGGAGAGAAGATCTCTTCAGTCAGGTTTGGGGGGGTAGTTTTGAATTATAAAGAAGACATGACAGGATAAATGTGATACTTTACCAATTTGATTTGCTCAGAGGTCAAGGTTTCATATATGGTATAACATAGGACCTTGGTTAGTCTTTGGTTCGGTTTAGTTTTTCTTTTCTTTGTTATTGTTGTTGTTCATTGTGTTTTGTTATTTCCTTGATATACTCAAAAGGGTCTGAAACTGATTTATATCTATAATCTTCTTTATTTCATTGATTTTTATGTTTATCTGTCTGCCAAAAAGACTAATTAAAAATAAATAGAAAAAACAGAAGAACATATGCATGTTGCCACAACTTGATGTTCATTCAGGTCGTCTGATTGGAAAAAGTCCAAACATATTTTCTCACTCTACATCAGGTGTTTCTGTTATAACGATGTATCTAAGGGGAGAAGAAGGCAGCAGCAGTCCTGGTCTGATCTTACTGCGGCTGTGTTGGGTGCGCTGGAAGCCAAGCTGGGAGTCCTTGTTCAGACCCATGCCCCAAAGTTTGGTCACATCTTTGGTTGAAGATGCCATGAGAGTGAAGCCGTAACCGCAGGCAGCAGATGAAATCTGAAAGAGGAGAGCAGAGGTTGTCTGTAGGGACATCTGGATATGATACCGATATGCGAAATGAGTACAGTAGCTAAAAGCAAATATGGGAATACATCTGATGCCTTCGTCCTAAATATATGATATGAGAAAACTAATAGAAAGAGTCCACATCAAGCCGCTGCTGTTCAATTTAATTCAATTTAGCAACCAGAGTCCACTTTGACCTCCTGCCCAGTTTGATGCTGCAGCTAAAAGATTTCCTGATTGGTCAAACCGATGCTAAAGTAGAACTTCACATGATGCTCCACATTCCTCATTTTAGGGAAGAAAGGGCTTCTTGGAAGAGTTGTCAAATTACAACTTTATTCTCTTAATTTTAAGACGTTATCTTAATTTTAAGACATTATTCTCGTAATGTTACGACTTTATTCTTATAATTTTACGACTTTATTCTCGTAATTTTAAGACGTTATTCTCTTAATGTTACGACTTTATTCTCGCAATGTTACGAATTTATTCTCGTAATTTTACGACTTTACTCTCGTAATTTTAAGACGTTATTCTCGTAATGTTACGACTTTATTCTTGTAATTTTACAACTTTATTCTCATAATTTTAAGACGTTATTCTCTTAATGTTACGACTTTATTCTCGCAATGTTATGACTTTATTCTCGTAATTTTACGACTTTATTCTCGTAATTTTAAGACGTTATTCTCGTAATGTTAGGACTTTATTCTCGCAATGTTACGACTTTATTCTCGTAATTTTACAACATTATTCTCGTAATTTTAAGACGTTATTCTCGTAATGTTACGACTTTATTCTCGCAATGTTACGACTTTATTCTCGTAATTTTACGACTTTATTCTCGTAATTTTAAGACGTTATTCTCGTAATGTTACGACTTTATTCTCGCAATGTTACGACTTTATTCTCGTAATTTTACAACATTATTCTCGTAATTTTAAGACGTTATTCTCGTAATGTTATGACTTTATTTTCGTAATGTTACGACTTTATTCTCATAATTTTTCCACTTTATTCTCAGAATTTTACGACTTTATTCCCGTAATTTTACGTTATTCTCGTAATTTTAAAACATTATTATCTTAATTTTAAAACGTTATCTTAATTTTAAGACGTTATCCTCGTAATTTAACCACTTTATTCTCGTATTTTTACGACTTTATTCTCGTAAGTTTACGTTATTCTCGTAATTTTCAGAAGTTATCTTAATTTTCAGACGTTATTCTCGTAATTTTAAGATTTTATTCTCGTAATTTTATGACGTCATTCTCAGCATTTTACAACTTTATTCTCAGAATTTTACGACTTTATTCTCAGAATTTTACGACTTGATTTTCCTAGTATACTTTAGACTGCTGTCCAGGGGAGGCGTATTGCATTCAATTCAATTCTGTTTATTTCTATAGCACCAATTCACAACACACATCATCTCAAGATTGATTGAAAGTTTTCTATCTAGGGAAAACCAGTTGATTGCATCAACTAATTGACTCTTCAGCAATCCCTCACACTAAGCATGCTTGTAGCGACAGTGGAGAGGAAAAGCTCCCTTTAAACAGTAAGAAACCTCCAGCAGAACCAGGCTCAGTGTGAGCGGCCATCTGCTGAGGCCAACTGGGGTTCAAGGAGACAGAAGCAGACATAGAAAAAGCAGCTATAAAAGGCGGCCTCGTCCAGAAAACACACAGCCAGGCAGACGAGCTCCGAGCACATTTATAGATGCTACAGACAATTAATGTAATAAAAAACAGGCCGTTAAACTTCCTGTTTAATGGAAGCAAGTGATATTTACCTGCTCTGCCGTCTCCAGGCGGTACGGCGTGAGCTGATATTTGCGGGGCCTTTTCTTCCCACTGTCCGGCACCACAAAGCTGGGAATCCCTAACGCCCCTGTAAAACTAAAACCCCAAACAAACACCTTGTGGTTTGGCTTTCTGTGTTCACCGACATACTGAAAAACTGGCCCAGAGCCACTTTTCTCCTGAGGTCTGGACGCTCTACTGAGTGTTGCATAACCACACGAACAAAGGGCTGAGCGAAGGTGTCGACGGTAGAGAGGAAAACCAGGAAGAGCCATCCTGGAAAAAGACAGCAGAGGAGAACAATCAACATTAAAACATATAAGATAAAAACAAAACATTTTATGCATTTAAACAATTGTTTCTAGGTAATTAATTTCCATGTTCTGATACAGTAACCATGCAAAAACCTTTTTTTAAGTATTTTTTTAATTTACAGAGGGTTAGTATAATAAACATGAAATTATTTCATTATTCTATCTTTATAATAGAGCTGGACAATATTGCCAAAACTAACACCACAATATATTCTTAAACTCGTAGGGAAGCGGCTGTTCCAATCGTTGCATTTCCGAATTCTCCCGAGTGGTGCACGATGTTACATGAATCAATAAAGTGAATGTGATTGGTCGATTATCAAGGGGGCGGGATTGTTGTGGTGGAAGGTTGGCAAGCCTGTTTGGTTGTGGCGGGTTTGTGGGAAGCATCTTGCTAACCAGTTAGCAACTTAGTGCTAGCAGGTTCCCAATGGGAAATTCCATTGGGACCAAGTAGCACTAAATTGGTGACTTAGAAACGACGCTGTCAAGGAACGCTATGGACAGAGGAAACATGCAAGAGGAGGAGAGTTTAGTGTCGGAGGTCGTGGATGACCTCCGACACTAAACTCCATTTTTTATTTAGAGGAGGAAAGCGAGGACGAAGATGTTGTGGAAGAGGACGCCAGGGCGGCAGAAGCTTGGTTTGGTGTAGGAGGCTTCCAGCCGTACATGTTTGAGCCCTTGCCTCGCAACGCTGCCAGTTCTGTTAGCTCTACGCCTGCAGAAGACACAGAAGTCCATCCCCGTGAACACTGGGACGGAACTCAATGGGAAAGGAAAGGATTCTGACTTCAACCGTTGCGTTTATTAGCTACGACATATGAATCAAGATGCTATGACCGAAGAATTTGATTGACAGATGACCGTTGATATATGATTGGCCGAATTTAGGTGTTCAGGCTGACGTAGCACACGACCCATGTACAGAGGCCTTAGTCCTCGGTGTGGGCGACCTGGGTTTGAAACCGACCTTTGCCACATGTCTCTCCCCCTTTCCTGTCAGCCTACTGTTCAAAAAACAGCCACTAGTGCTGTAAAAAAAACTCAACAAAAAAACAACAAATACATGTTTAAGTCAGATTGATTTTACATTTAAATCTGATTTCCCTACCACTTTAAGTAATTTCAGAAAAATGCAAATGTTTGTATTAATGGCGTCCGGCGTCCGGCGCCGCAATCAGCCGGCCGTGTATTTGTCCTCCTTTACCCCCAGATTCCACATACTCCGTCAGCGCTCTGCTACGCTCACATACGTCGTGCGGAGTACTTGTCTGTCATGTAAATCAGTAAGATCTGTTCCACGTCCTCCGCTACTCCTCCGCACATCTCTGTCCACGTACGTCCTCTCCGTCCCTCACCATCAACATACGGAACTGAGCTCTTTTTTGCTCCGCTCGGGTCAGTCCAGATCAAGACCCGCAATTGCAATCGCACCAAACAGGAAAAAGGATGTAGAGAAGACCCGGTTTGTCAAATTAAATTATAGTAAAAACAGGTCGGTAACTAGAAATTAGAGCATAATTCGTATATATTCGGACGTTTTGATACCTATATTGTGTGTTTGCCACAATAGAATAGGAGCATAGAAAGACACAATGGCGTCTATGCTCCTTGCTTTGCAATGGAAACACCAAATAGATTCTAGTCTAATTTTGAACATAAACAAAAGTAAACTGTAATATTCATTGTTTATGTTCAAACTGATTCTATGATGTCATTCTAATTCTAAGACCTCCCCCAGACATTCTGATTCCTCCCATTCCACACATTATTCCAACCCCAGTTCCCTGGACCCACAGAGCACACAACACGTACAGTGAGTTTCTAGCAAACATTGTTTGATCGTTTTCCGTGAATTATTTTCCTCCAATCGTATTTGAGTAAAAATGTCAAACCAGACAAGAAGATTCCAGCCGAGGGGGCAGTATGTCCAGGAAAGTGGACGGAGAAACCAGTACAACCAGGGTGCCTGGGTTCAAGGCAGAAATCCTCCGCCTGGTCATTACTTTGACGCGGAGACGAACCGACTCTTACATCTTTTGGATGCGGAAAGAAAAGCGGTGAAAGAAGAGCAGCGTAATGTGAACTATTTGACAAAAGAACTACAAGATACAAAGAACCAGCTGCAGAATCAGAAGAATCAAACCGCAGCATGGGAGCTGAAAGTAGAGCATGGACGAACGCTTATAAGCACTTTGAGAGACCAGAACAAAACTCTGCAGAACGAACTGGAGCAGCTTAAGACCTCCAGTCAGGAAACCATCTCTAAGAACGAGACGGAGATTCTTATGTTGAGGCAACAAGCGGAGAAATTAGAGCAGGAGTTAACTAGAGAAGGAGAAAACAACTCAAAGAAAGCAGAGAATGAGTTCCAGGCCAAGGAAGCGAAGGTCCATGAATCCCTGGAGCTAAAAACTGAAAACATGCTGGCCAATTTGCAGAGAGAGCTGGAAACCGTAAAGGCTTCACACAGGGAAATGACTGAGAAGTATGAAAAAGATACAGCTACTCTGAAACAACGGGCAGAAACGCTGAAGCAGGAACTGATGGAGGAGATGGAACGTCATTCAAAGACGTCCATGACCAACATCCAGATGTTTAACAACCTCACAGCCAAGAACAAAGCTCTCCGGCAAGAAATGGCTGAAAAAATGGCGAGTCTTGAACAAAGCGCAGAGGAGACGGAGACACGTCTGCAGAGACAGCTGCAAGAAGTCACACTTTCTGACAAAGAGGTCATAAGGAAGTATGAGGTGGAGGTTAGCCTGCTGAAAATAGAGCTTGATTGTTTAAAACAGCAGCTGAACGCAAACAACCAGAGAACCTCCAACAAAATGACCGAAATGGAGGTCCTGAATAAGAGCATGTTTGAAACCATGGACAAGATGTTAGAATCCCTCGAACAAACGCCTGAAGACCCAGCAGCTGGTTTCCAGGAGGAGGTGGACCGGATTAGGGCTTCACAGCAGGAAGCTATCAGGAAGTACCAACAGGACAATCTGACCCTGAGAGAACAGACAGAAACACTAAAACAAGAGCTGGATGAAGAAAGAGACGCCCATTCACAGACATTGGCGTCCAACCTTCAGGTCATCAACGGCATGGCAGCAGAGAACCAGGCTCTCCGTCAGGAAATGGCTCAGAAAATCTCAGGCTTGCAAGAAGAATTCAAAGCAACAGAGACTCTGAAGCAGAGAGAGTTGGAAGAAGAAAGAGTTTCCCACCAGGAAATCGTCTCTGAGAAGGAAAGGGAGGTTCTTCACCTGGAAAGAAAGCTAGAACGTTTAGATACGCTCCTCAATGATGAGGCAGAAACGTCTGTAAAGAAATCAGCAGAGGACCTTGATCTGATCAACCAACTTAGAACTGAAAGGGATGAACTGCAGCAAGAGATCTTAGCCCTCAAACAAACTTCCATCGACGAGGAAATCAGTCAGGATTCCATCCTTCAACTCACCGAGGAGGGAGTCCCAGAGAAAAGGAAAAAGAGCCCCTGGAAAAGGTTTCGCCACTCTCTGGGTTTGAGGAAACCAGAACAATTCAAGAGAAAGAAGTCCACCTCAGAGGAAAGGGCCTAGAACCTTTTAGTGACGCAGAGAGACTTTATCAGGGTTTAATTAAACTGGGACTGAACTGGACACCATCAGCTCTAAACATCCTGAAACACCATACTGACAGAATTGGCCTTGGAAATGTTTTAATCCAAACATCCCAAAAATTAAAAAAAGGGCAGCATGGTGGAGAAGTGGTTCTCCTCATGTCTGCGTGGGTTTTCCCCGGGTGCTCCGGTTTCCCCCACCTATCTGGTTAATTGGCCTCTTCAGTGTATTGGTGCGTGAATGATTGTGCCCAGAGACGTGCTTCCTTGCAACCATAAGAACCAGACCTTCTCAATGGAAGCCCCTTAAAAAGACTTCAACAGCCAAACCCTGTTTGGATTCCAGTGGATTCCAGTGGATTCCAGTCCATCTGTTGGGATATTGCCAGTAGATCCATCAGCATCATATCCGCCTCAGGCACCAAAGCAGAAACGATCAGAAGACGTCTCCCTATTAGAGCTTCAGCTACAGACTCTAAGCGAGGCAGGTTGATCTATGCAGAAGATTTCAGTGGCAGACAATTCAAAGAGCTGAACATGAGGAAAACAGAAAGAAAAAGAAAGACTGTAGCGCCAAAGAGACAACAGAAAATTAAAGAGAATAAAAGTGAATCATTAAAATAAGATGATTGTATAAAAGATCAGAAAGATTATTTAAAAAGATGCTGTTTAAATCGCTCAGTCAAAACGTCACACCATGACGTCTCAGGTCATTTTATAGAAACAATTCAACCAGATCATCCAGTCAGATTGATTCAAAGTTTTCTATATAAGGAAAACCAGCTGATTGCATCGACTCATTGACTCTTCAGCAATCCCTCACAATCTCCGAGCCAGCTCCCATGTCAGAGGATGAAGAGAGCACATCCAGTTAGTCACAGTCAGAGAAACAGGACCACACTGAAAAACAGGCCGATCTCCAACATCTAGAAACAAAGGTGTTGATGGCAGCAGCACAGCTGATATTTCTCTCCAGGATGGAGTCACAGCCAAACAGGAACAGACCAGATGAAGCTACTATGAGAAAAAGCAGAGAGAGCAGAACGTTAGAGATTGAACTAACAGATTCTGCAGAGTGCAAGAAAAGAGATAGAATGGAGCAACGTAGAAACGTCCATTCAGACTGAAATTCCCCTCCGCTGGATCGGGCTGTTAACGCTCTACCGCCACCTACCGCTCTACTTACCCAGTGACTACATTTATTCCAGATTAGTGGAGCAGGAGGACTAAAAGCTGCTTCTATATGATTTATATCTGTTCCAGCAGTTTAAAAAAGTTAATAAAATTGAAAAAAAACAAAAAGAAATTAAAACCGCGAGCGGTATTGACGGCGCTCGCAGCTCAGCGCCGCTCGGCCTATTGCGACGGCGGGAGCCAAGCGACTGCCTCCCCCTAGCACCTTCCCAGCCAGCGGAAAAAGCTCCACGCTTCACCTCTGGACCAGCAGAAGACAACCACAGCGTTGGTCAGTAAGGGTTAAAATAGGGATAAAAGATAATATCTGGGACGAATCTCATCTGTAAGATAGACGCTGCGGCCATCTTAGTTGGTGGGTCAAAAGTATATGTACAAAAGAAGGAGAAACCGCATCTTCAAACTCCATGGTTAGCAGTATTACACCCTACTCAAAACTATAAAAAATCATTAAAAATCCATAGTTTGCAGTAAAATCCTGAAAAAAATCACACATGTCGAGGAATGCATCCTGCATATTCTAGAATTGTTTTAGATTATTTACTAATTAATTGAAAGAAAAAAATATTTTTTAAACTTAAGTGCCATATACTGAGGCAGTTGAATACCCCATAAGATGCTCAAACATGCATAGATTTACGCCAAACTTGGCAAACTTAACTATAATCAAAGTATAAATAAATGTTCCAAATTTGGCTAGGATTGCTATAAAAGTTTTTGAAAAACAACAATTTCCCATTAACACAAACTTTTGAAAAATCAGAGTGACGAACTTTTAAGAAGAGCTATGCTGTGTTTACCATCAAACAAGTAGCGATTAAAAGAATATATTCCAAAAGTCCTAGCTTTTTTTAGAAATCGACTGATTTTTAAGAAATATTTTAACATAGTGATTCTATTTTCATAAGGGTGCCGTTTGATTCAAAATGGCCGACTTCATGAGAGGTTTAGACCATGGCTCCAATGAAACGTTTTGTAGGTGGAGGGCTCATACAGATGTGTGCCAAATTTCATTATCCTAGGAACGAGCATGGCTAGGGGCTGAATTATTCCCTGGCATTATCTGCCCACTTGGCCAACTACTAGAAGAGAACGCAAACTTTTGAAAAATCAGAGTGACGGACTTTAAAGAAGCGCTTTGCTATTGTAACCAACTTACAGCAGGCTTTGTAAAGAACATATTTTGAAAGTTTTAGCTCATTTGAATAAAAGGGTGATTTTATACAATTTTTTGAAAAGAGGTCTGTGATTTCACAACAGGGTAAAATTTAATTCAAAATGGCCGACTTCCGGTGGGGTTTAGACCATGGCTCCAAGAGGCTTTTAGTTAGGGCTTGATGAGATGCAAATGTGTTCAAAGTTTCAACATTCTTGGACTAAAAACGGCTTTGGGCTGGTGGTTTAAAATTTGTTATTTCTAGGGGGCGCTGTAATGAAATTAAGCTCCGCCCACAAAATATTGCTCTGGATTCCTGTTTGGAGTTGGACTAGGATCATCTCTTGTGATTTTGGTGCAGATCTGATAATAAATGAGGAAATGAGAGCCAATCGTATTTTCATGGCGAAACGCCTCACTTCGCCATGGCGCCACGGCAACACCATTTGACTAAAACTCTCTGTACCTTAATCGAAGTTAGGACAACATGTTGTCTGTCTGCTGACACAGTTTTAGGTTGATGAGGTCAAGTAGGACAGAGGGGGACCATTCCAAGTAAAAAAAGTGACTTCCGGTTCTCAGGGGGCGTGGCTTCAATAATGTCACAATTTTAATATACAGTTTTGTTGGGAACCGAGAGAGGATTAATACTACCAAGTTTGGTGTCATTTCAGTTTCATATGTAAAAGTTATTGCATTTTGAAAATGTTTTTAATGGATGGATGGATGGATGTGTGGGTTTTTCATGTGATGAAGAGTCATCAGGCTGTAAATTAGAAACATCCCAAATGTTTCAAAGGGCAGCATGGTGGAGCAGTGCTGATAGCATTGTAGCCTAGCAGAAAGACTGGCAGGTATTGATAGAGCTCCTCATGCTTGGCTGCTTTTCCCCTCAAATATCTGGTGTGAGTGTGTGAGTGAATGTTCCTCTCCGGAGAGTCGCCACCTTGTCGTGGTGGAGAGGCTTGGGTCCCAAGCTCCTGCTAAGGTCCACCTAGGCAGTAAGGTCCATGAGCACGGTACCAGACAAAGAGCGACTCAACAGGGACTCCAACAGCCATTCAGCCATGGGAGAAAACTATGGCAAGCTGTTTGCCTAATTAGTTCTCACTGATTGGCTATAAAATAGCCAATCAGTGAGAACTCTGAAATATTTTAATAAGCACTAAAATGTTAACCTGACTCCGCCAGATGGATTTGCTGGATTTGCTCCGCATATCCATCTGGAAACCTTCCGTTGAAGTAATTTTGGGAAGGGGCGAAAATACTGGTTAGCTGATTGGCCTATGTTGGTGATAGACGGGCCAAATAAACCATTCAGATCAACGAAGCATATGACGTACTAACAGAGCGACGACGAAAACACAACCACAAGCCAGGCTACTCTTGCCGTAACCAGTCGGGAGAAGAGCAAAAACATCTTTTCCTCTGAGAAAAGCCTCCAGAGCAGTGTTTTGCTCTTCTTTCAGTGAAGAAATACTCTGTAATTCCGATAAAACTTGCTCGATAGCCACGCTAACGCTAGTTTCATGGGCTGAAGACGCCATGTTCTTTAGACTGAACTGTTGCGCTTCTCGTTGCGTCACACCTCAACCCGCCTCAAAGCCAACGCTGATTGGACGTTCGTTTGGTGAACGGCTCCAAATTTTCTTTAACGGAAAGTAGCCAGACTGATCTGCGAGTGAAACCTTTTCAAAGTCCTTTCCGGGTGTGAAATCATCTATGAGCTGCTGTCAGCTCTCACCTGTACACAAAATATCTGTCATCTACAAAGAAAAAAAGAAATAGAATTTTCATAAAACTTTACATATGCATTTTATGTAGAGAATAAAAGTATTGGTTCCAATCCTGACCCCTATGGGACACCAGAAGCAAAGTCCAAGTGTGAAAATCTTTGGATCTGCTCACTTCTTTTATTAACTCCAGAACTGACAAAGCTGGAGATGCTGTGATCTACGCTACCGTTCAAAAGTTTGGGGTCACATTAAAATGTCCTTATTTTTTAAGGAAAAGCACTGTACTTTAAAATGAAGATAACTTTAAACTAGTCTTAACTTTAAAGAAATACACTCTATACATTGCTAATGTGGTAAATGACTATTCTAGCTGCAAATGTCTGGTTTTTGGTGCAATATCTACATAGGTGTATAGAGGCCCATTACCAGCAGCTATCACTCCAGTGTTCTAATGGTACAATGTGTTTGCTCATTGGCTCAGAAGGCTAATTGATGATTAGAAAACCCTTATGCAATCATGTTCACATGTCTGAAAACAGTTTAGCTCGTTACAGAAGCTACAAAACTGACCTTCCTTTGAGCAGATTGAGTTTCTGGAGCATCACATTTGTGGGGTCAATTAAACGCTCAAAATGGCCAGAAAAAGAGAACTTTCATCTGAAACTCAACAGTCTATTCTTGTTCTTAGAAATGAAGGCTATTCCATGCCAGAAATTGCTAAGAAATTGAAGATTTCCTACAACGGTGTGTACTACTCCCTTCAGAGGACAGCACAAACAGGCTCTAACCAGAGTAGAAAAAGAAGTGGGAGGCTGCGTTGCACAACTGAGCAAGAAGATAAGTACATTAGAGTCTCTAGTTTGAGAAGCAGACGCCTCAAAGGTCCCCAACTGG